CAGGACTTCACAAACAACTTAGTCGAATCAAGTTCCACTAAGTATGATTGTGATTTCCGTTTAAGTCGAAATAGATGTTGATTATAGCATCTTGACTTAATGTAGGTATTTTGATGCGTTGACCTCACCCTGCTTTCGAGAATTGTGACTGAATTTTCGCTTCGACCAGGTGGGTTTTATTAAAGTTGTCTATGCAATAAATTGTTTACCTTACTCGTATATGATCAATGTGTGCTTACGAATCATGTAGCCTTCGATGTGAGCTGTACCGACCGTCGAACGGTTGTCCTGTATTTATGAAATGAAAACTCGAGGGGTTACTCCTACTGACTAGGCACCGATAGAAGCCCGAGGGGCAGTCGGTGTATAAGCCCGAGGGTCATAGACGTAGTGTCATAAGGCCTAAACAGGCATATGATACGTAAGGCCTAAGCAGGCATACGGTACGTAAGGCCTAAGCAGGCATAAGATACGTGGACCAGCAGTAGTCTATTGGTATAAATGTGCACATGAGTCTGAACACTGTGAATTTATGATGAAACCTGGGATACTTAATTGATTCTTATACATGCTGTGATCATACTATCTCTGTTACTGTTTTGTTATGTAAATGTTTATTGTATAGTGGTGAGCAATACGATTTCCAACTGTGCTCATCCCACCTGAAATTAACGTTTCAGTTTAAGGCGGGTACGACGGCGGAGTAGAGCGAGTGGTAGTCGGTCTATGAGACCGGTTATTAATGGATTTCGCTTCCGCTATATTTATGACTATTTACGATTTATGCATTTTTGAACTTTGAGAACTTATGAAGTATTGAGATACTATTGGGGAGATGCCCCATTGACACTATTATGTCTTGAAAAATTTATGTTTATTTTAGGAACCCGATTTGGGGTTAATTGATGATTTATGAATCCCGGTTTGGGAAGATGGTCTATGTTATGAATTGATGTTATGTCGTTTGAAAAATATAAGTAACGGCACAAATGTTTGAAATAAATTTTGAAAAATTTATTCTGATTTTTCTGAAAGTACGAAATTTCTTTAAAATCAAAGTGGGGCGTTGCACACCGCCTGGCCGCTGAGCCCGCCAAATCTGCCTAGGAGCGCCTAGGGCCGCCTAGGCGTCTGGCCAATTTTTTCTGTCGATTTGTGCAAATCAGAGGCTCCCGGGCATCGCCTAGGGCCTAGGCGGTCGCCTTGGCCGATTTTTAGAACAGTTATGAATTGATGAATAGTGAATTAGAGTTGATGTAATGTGTAAGAATGATTTATTTGTATTATTTAATTATATGAATAATATTAAAGATAATGAGATTGCGTTAAAGTTAAGTTAGTTATGAATATGAATTAAATGTGAGTAATTTAATTTGTAAACCCTCAATATTTTATAGTGCTTGTCTGAATATCTTTATATGAAATTCCAACTGCGGCACAATAATAATAAATTCATTTAATCACCCTTCCAGAGGCATTACACAAGGGGACTCTTTGTCCCCTTATCTTTTTATCATTGTTGCTGAGTTGCTATCTATTTTGGTCTCTGATTCTATAAACACTGGACAGCTGTTGGGTATGAAGCTTTCTGCAAATGGCCCTCCTTTATCTCACATCTTATTTGCAGATGACTCTTTGTGTTTTTGCAAAGCTGAGGTTGGCCAAGCTTCTGCTCTCTTGACCTTACTGGAAAAATACAGATTATTTACTGGCCAAAAAGTCAATCTTCAAAAATCTGCTATCTTTTTCAGTAAAAACACCCCTCACCACTTGCAAGCCAGTATATGTTCCACACTTCAAGGTATCACTCCTCACAGATCAACCAGATACTTGGGTCTTCCACTGGGAATAGGCAGATCAAAGAAAGAAGCTTTCCAATACATCCTGGATTCAGTACAATCTAAACTATAGAATTGGAAAGCAAAGATGTTATCCGTAGCTGGAAAAGAGGTTCTTATAAAGGCTGTACTCCAAGCACTGCAAATATTCTCCATGTCATGCTTTGTTCTTCCCTCATCACCGTGTTCTGAAATATCCAAGAGATGTTCTAACTTCTGGTGGAGTAAGGGTGATGATCTAGAATCTGGTATTCATTGGAAATCATGGTCTACCCTCACATTGCAGAAAGCTTCATACCCAACAGTTATGGAGAATCATTTCTCAGCCCTCTCTTCTTGTCAGCAGAATATTAAAAGAGAGATATTTCTTACACTGCTCCATTTTTTAAGCTGTCAAGTCCAGTAATTGCTCCTGGTTATGGTCCAACTGGCTCACTGTCATTCCCATTTTTGCTCAAGGTTTCAAAATTGAAATCAGAAATGGTGTTTCTACCAGGATTGATGAATTTAACTAGGTTCCCTCACTTCACTCTCAGAAGCCCTACCTTCTTGAGATTGCCATAGGGCATATCATTTGGATTAAAGAGCTTCTGAATCAAACTGGTAATGGCTGGAATGAATGGCTTGTCTCACAGTTGTTCAATGCAAGGGATAGCAAAGCCATCCTTAAGATTTGCACTCTAAAACCAGGTTTGGCTGATAAGCTCTGTTGGTCTTTCAATAAAAAGGGAACTTTCTCTGTGGCTAGTACCTATGCTTTCTTAACAAAACAGAAACTGCTCACTCTTGATCTACCTAGCAGTAGTTCCTCATCCCACACTCTGAACAATCTTTACACCAAGTGTTGGAATTTGAAAGTAATTGGGAAGATTAAACACTTCCTTTGGAAATGTCTTACTATGTTACCTGTGATGTGTAACTTTGTGAAGAGAGGTTTAAAATTGGATACTACATGTCAATCATGTGGGTGTGAAACTGAAACTATAGAGCATATTTTGTTCACCTATCCAAAAGCATGCAGAGTTTGGGATATTGCTCCACTTCAGTGGGATGGCCTGCAATCTTTCACCTCTTCCTTCAGATGCTGGTGGTCCAATTTATGTTCTGTGGCTAAGTCAGATGTTGTTGCACCCAGAATCCAACTGACCACCTATATGTTGTGGTGGCTTTGGAAAGCTCGCAACCTCTGGATTTTTCAACAGACAAACCTCTCTGTTGCACAAATTGTCAAGACTGCTCATAGGCAATGGCTGGAGTTCTCTATGTTGCCTTAGAATCCTGGGTTTTCCTTTTTTCTTTTGTTGTGGTCTCTTCATTTTATGTTTCTATTTAGTCTAGTTAGTTGGCTTAGTTTTGGTTCTATTGTTACTCTTTAGGCTTTGGCAGTGGAGAGTTTTCCAATTTGGTTTCTCGTGCTTTCATGTGTTTGTGTGTTGAGGTTCTAGGCCGCCGTAGTGCGTGTCCTCTCAGTTTTTAGTTTCGTTGTTGTCAGTTGAACAGTTGATCTTTGTACTGGTTTCTCTTTGAGTAATATACTTCCTCTATCGTTTCGGGAAAAAAAAAAGCAAATAAGAATCATCATTAGTATAAAAAAAAAATCGAATATTAATATTACTTTTAATTTTTTAACGATACATGACACTTTAATAAAATTATTGTCATTTCTTAGAGTTCCATTTAGAATTAATAAACATAAAAATTAAACATATTCAACAATTATCAATGAATAATACTCACAAGAATTATTTATCACTCTCTTCCTTATTCATACCTAATTACAATATTATATTATATGTTTTTCTAATTTGTAAATAATTATTCTTTGATTGATTCATTTCTAATCATATCCGTTAATTTATATTTGCTAATTCAAATAAAATTCTTGATTAGGTAGAAATTAAATAATTAATTGTTAATTTTTGAAAACTTTAATATCAAATTGTTGATATCATATCACTAAAATTAAAAATAAAAATACATAAATATAATTATTGATTGAATTTTTTTAGAAAGTTTAATAGATAAATATAGATCAAATTATTTATCTTACATTACTTAAATTAAAAATAAAAGTCTCAGGACAATTGTAAAAAATTACCAAAATAAGTAAATAAAAAATAATAGTTAATAAATTTTCCTTATTTTGTTAAAAAATATTTTGCCACCGAAAAACAATAAAGTGAATACAAATCTTTTTATATATACCAGTATGTAGCATGGAGGTTATCAAATGGATCATGGAGGTTGGCCTCTGTTAGATGGGAGGGACCTCAAAATCAGGAATCTTTTAAAACATGGTGGCAGGTGTGCCAGATCGATAAAAGCGAAACTTTTGAAGCTAGGATCCAGCTGTCGACGCACATACTATGGTGACTTTAGAAATCTCGTAATTTATGGATTTTTGAAAAAGCTCAGAGGCCTGCACATCTAATTGTCTAAGCAGCAGTCCATCACTGGAATGGCTAATTGGAGAGTAGAGTGTCTCAGGCTCCTTTTAGGTAAGTGGTTGGTACATGCAGGCTAGGATCAGGGATCAGTGGTCTGCTTTGTATTGTCTTGTTTGTTTTAGTCTGCTTTGTGTTGTCTTGTTTGTTTTAGTTTTGGTGGTTGAAGGGGTAAAGACTCGGTTGTGTAACTGCTTTATCCCTTTAAGTTCGTTTTGTGTTTGTTGTTTTTAGTGGGTCTCTAGGCCACCTGCTTGTGGCGCTCTCATTCCTCGGCTTTTAGTTTGGGTTGTTTCTGTACAAACGTTTTATGTTTCTATATTGGAG